GAGTCATTCCCTTCAGTTGTGGACCCACCAGTGATCAGGCTCCAAAGGACAGTGAAAATGCCATGGCCGCAAAATAAACCCAAAAGTCATGAATCTGGGAAAAGGGCTGATAGGGAGGAAGAGTGTGGGTTGATAGGGATGAGAGGGTTGGGAGAGAACGCAATCAGCGTGTGTGAAACTGTCACAGAACAAGTTTGATTAACAAGATAATTAAGCAGAAAGTAAATCTCAAAGCTTAATCAAGTGTCAGTTTCTTTCCTATAGCAGCAGGCATAGGTGAGACAGAATTTATAAACTGATCCCCTGTCAACCAGTTGTTCAGTTCAGATGAAAGCAAAGCTGAAAATCGGTTCCTTGTTTAAGTGACTGTAAACACTTACTCCTGTAAGCTCAGGAGTGAGAAATGGTAGAGCAAATAGTTTTTTTTTCTGTAGGTACAGGTACTACTTTGGACAAGGAATAACTAGAAAGCTAGTCTTAAGTAATTGTAATGTATTCAATAATCTTTTGAACTGGTAGTAATTGATCATCTGGTGAGTGCCTCACATGTAACAAGTACTACAGGCATCCAAACTACAAAGGTCGATAGGCCTGGGATTGTAAAGATTTTATTGTAGAGGTGTGTGTTGGAGGAAGAGAAGAGAGAAATAAAAAGGTAAACATTTAATATGATAATCTTCGGAAAAGAAAACTCAAAGTATCATTGGTCATCTCATCCTCTTCCCATTTTACTCCACAAACACCGACACTCAGGATTCTTTTTATTCTCTTTCCTCCATCACCTCAAAGACTCATCCTTCAGGCTTCGGGAAATCTAACGTTTGTACTTATTTACTGGGAATATTCTAGGTGCCTGACTATGCCTTTAAAGCTATGCCCAATGAGATGAAGTAAAAGACATTGACAACTATCCATTTAGCTTTATATTCCATTGCAAGAAATGTATTTTCATAAACTTAGCATATATTTTGTCAGTGCTGACAAGAAATAAAGCAAAATTTAAAAATAACCAGCACATGTTAATTTCACCAGAGTAGAACACCACTTCATAACATACTCTACTGTAATTTCTGCTAAGTAGGAAAAATATTCCACATATTTCATCTAAATCCATGAAGTGGAAATCATACAGCACATGAGTGATGAGCATATATATTTAATACCCATCACAAGGCATTTGTTTCCCTCTCAGATACAGAAATAAAGAGTGGCAATAAAAGTAGTAGTTGACTAAACTCTAGATACTACAACCTGTCTGGCAGGAATTGGTAGCAAAGCCAATTCAGGCCTTGTTGGATTCCATATTAGGAACCACGGGTCTCAGAAGGGGACGATGCAGCTGGAGGTGGGCACAGGTCTGGTTTCCTCAGAGCTTCTCTAGAGCTGCAGAACCTAGCACCTGCTCCAGACTGAAACACAGCAAGAGCCTCAGGCAAGGAGGGTGTATTCTCTGAGGGCTCAGCCCAGTTGGAAGGTCTTGAGGGCTCGCTGGAGGGTCAGAACCATGGGACATCATGCAAGTCTACCTCTGCTGGGAAGTAGGGACAGGGCGGTTGGATCTGTTTCTATTCTCCTCCCCAGAAGGGCACACAATTAGGAAGCAAAGACAACCAAGGAGCACACCTCTGAGATGACACTCCTCATTAGAGTCCCCAAGTACTTGGCATTGTTTGTTCTCATGATTCCCAGAATTGCACTGTCTGCACTCTCCATATGGCTCTGGCGAACCTGTTAGGGAGCAGAACCAGTCAGTGAGCTCCTGATACACACCACAGCTCAGCTTCTTAGTGGAACCTGGGTCCCTTGGGGTATAGCAGAAGTGGGGAGTCAAAACCCAAGTTACACTTCCAGGTGTGGAGGTGCTGTGAGAGCTGGGTAGAAGGCATGGGTAAGACTGGGGGAGTCCAAAGAGGGGCCAAAGTGTCCCAAAGTTTTTTAGGGGGGACCTGTCTTTGTGGAGCTACTTCTAGGCAACAAACTTCTCACATAGATCATTTGTTTTGAAGTGAGGAAATTCTGGATTCAGTCCCTCAAAGGAGGGGAGGAAAAGCACTCTCCATGTCACCTGTCCCTGGAAAAAGACCCTTTCTCCCCAGAAAGTTCTTAAGACAGCATCACATTACTTGTATTTTACTTCAATTAAAAAATTATTATTTTTATTTTATGTGTATGAATGTATTGCCTACATGTACGTGAGTGCACCCATGTCATACAATGCTGTGGAGGTCAGAGAGGGCTTCGGATTCTCCTGGAACTGGAGTTAAGGACAGTTCGTAGCCTCCATGTGGGTGCTGGGAATTGAACCCAGGTCCTCTGCAAGAGCAGTCAGTGCTCTTAACTGCTGAGTCATCTCTCCAGCCCCCCCCCCCCCTTTTAATGAGCTATAGACATGTCAGAGTGTTAGTTTTCAAATTTTCATATCAGGGGCTGGAGAGATGGCTCAGTGTTTAATAGCACTGGTTGCTGTTACAGAGGATCTGGGTTTGGTTCCCAATACCCACAGGGTGGCTAACAACCATCAGTAACTCTAGTTCCAGGGGAATCTGGTGCCTTCTTCTGATCTCCACATATATTGCAGAACACACTCATACACATAAATTAAAAATAATAGGGGTTGTGGTCTCCTTCCATGAGCTGGAGCTGTGGTCCCCTCCAGTGAACTGGGCTTGTGGTCCCCTCCTGTGACCTGGAGGAGTGGACCCCTCCTGTGAGCTGGTGCTGTGATCCCCTCCTGTGAGCTGGAGATGTGATCCCCTCCTGTGAGCTGGGGCTACGGTCTCCTCCTGTGAGATGTAACTGTGGTGCCCTCATAGTAATGTTGACTCTTAATTCCAAGAGGTACAATTGGAGTGGACTGTACTGGATCAGGTGCTCACCCACTCTTGAAGTTTAATGCATCTTTCAACTCTCACTGGAGAAATTTCCTTATGCAGCAGATGGTGATTGACACAGACACTTACGACTTTCTAATGTGCAGGAAGAAAGGGGCTGCAGAGCACTTATCTCTGAGTAGAATGCCCCTGTCAGGCCCCTGGAGCTCAGGGTTCGGGGATCATGGCAGAGGAGGAGGTGGAAAGATTGTAAGAGCCAGAGGTGGTGGATGGCCATGGGGGGTGGAGTTCTCCAGATGGCTGATCGGTCACTCATATGAACTCACAGCAATGGTGGCAGCATGCACAAATCCTATGCAAGCTCCAGTGGATGGACCCACACTAGAGAACATACGGAGATTCAAGATAGACTATACAGGCTTCATAATACAGAGAGAGCACACTGAAATGAGTGTGTGTGGGGGTAATGTGGGAGGTGTGGATGGGAGAGGGGATATACATGTCATCAAATTATATTGCATGGAAATCACAAAAATTCAATAAAAATGTTAAAAATAATATATAAAAATATTTAAAATTTTTTATCAATCAATCATGGAATTTGCAAACTAGCTCCTTACTGCGTGACTTCTCACTTGCTGGTGTTATGACACAAACTTGGGAAACATTTGTCGCCATTGTCCAGTTCTGAGCACAGGGCAGCCTGTGTTCCAGTTCCATCCGGTCTCTATAAGAGCAAACATACACAAGGATGCCAAATAATAGCTTCTGATCACAGGAGAATCTTGGTGTCTACTGGCCATTTATATGTAATGTAACCTCCTTTCGTTATGGAACAGGGGATCAGCAAAAAAGTGGAAATCAAGAACCTTAACACAAGAGAAAAAGGCATTAGTCACAAAGGGGCACATTTGTGGAGGCAGTTACTGTAGGAGGTGGTGCCGCATCCAACTATACGACCTCCAGTCATAAAAGTTGTGTTGGGGCATAAAAGTCAAAGATTTGAAGATGATAAGAAATTAAAAGCAGATGTAGCTGTCTCAAACTTTAAATCAGGGAAATAAATCATTTCAAAATGATGTGTTTTCTACAGCATAGTAAGATGACACTGCTTTTAACTGTGTAGACCATGGGCTTTGAAATTTTTCTAGGTTTCTCTGGAAAATCAGTTGTATTTTAAAACTCAATCAAAAATTTATGATTTCATGCAGAATATTGATTTCTGTCTCTGTCTCCCTTTCTGTCTCTATCTCTTTACCTCTGTCTCTGTCTGTCTCTCTGCTTCTGTCTCTCTGTCTCTCACACACACAGACACACATAGAGTTTTTTGAGGAGTTGGAGATTGAAGATTGAACCCAGGCCTTCACACATGCTAAGAAAGTACTCTATCACTGAGCTACACCCCCAGCCTACACACACACACACACACACACACACACACACACACATTTTTTCAAATCTCAAATTTGAAAGATTTGGAATTGAATGAAGACATCCCCAAAGGCTGACCAAGGAATACTGGTTCACACTGAATGGTACAGAAAGAGTTCCTCACTTTCTGTAACCAACTAGATTCTGACATGTGTTGATCTGAGGCAGAAGAAGGGGGAATTCACAAAATACTCACAATTAGTTAGTTAAGTTCATGATCTCCAGAAAACTGTTGATAAGTGTCTGGAAAAAGTGGTACAAGGTCAAACAATTTTGGCTAAAGCAGAGGTTCTAAAATCTGAAATAGAGCTCTTTCACTAAAGGAAATTTTATAGCTTTCACGATGTTAATACAAATTTAGGCAAGATATGCAGTTATTCGTGATCTTATTATACTACAGAAGATGCTTTAAAGTCCCCTGGAAAACTTAGTGTTTGGAGCAGAGGTGTTTGAGTGATAAGACACTGCATCCTGACTAGAGGATGCTCTGAAAGGTGCTTTTCTGAAACTGTGGCTTCCACATCCTTGTCATGGTTTGGACTAACAGCTACAATCTGTTATTGATAACAGTTGAAATAAAAGATTCCTAGATTTCTCCCATAACTACCAAGTCATTCATTCAATGGTAGGGCATGAGACAGCTCAATGCTAAATAAAGTAATTCTTATGCTCTGAATGGTTAAGAAGCTCTTGAGATGATCATTTTCTCTCACTGTTAACTACGATGCTGCAAATGTCTTACAAAACTCTCTGCATCACCAGCACTCCCTTCAAAGTATTCTTTACATCCGAGTTCCTAAGACTGTAGATGAGGGGATTGAGTATGGGATTAAGCAGGCTGTGAAACAGGAAGAGGTATTTCTTCTGCTCCTTTGGGCTCCCATATCTGGGTCCAACATACATGACAATGGCTGTACCATAAAAGAGTCCAACCACACAGAGGCGGGAGGAGCAGGTGGAGAAGGCTTTTCTTTGACCTTCCCCTGGCTGAATCTTCAGGGTAGCACCAAGGATATACACATAGGAGACCACAACTGAGGAGAACGGTCCGACGAGCACAGACGCTGCCCCAGCCAGGACCATGTTCTCATTGAGGTGGGTGTCTGCACAGGCAAGTTTGAGAACAGCCATGATTTCACAGAAAAAGTGGTTCACTTTCTGAGATACACAGAAGGGCAAAGGTAGAAGTAACACTAGATGAATCAAGGACAGAAGGACTCCAGCAATCCACGAAGTTGCAGCCATGGTGCTAGACCTTCCAGTTCATGATGGCAGAATATTGGAGGGGGTGGCAGATGGCTACATAGCGATCATAGGACATCACCACCAGGAGGAGACATTCTGTGATGGCAAATGTCAAAAAGAGAAAGGTCTGTGTCATGCAGCGGGCAAAGGAGATGGGCTTGACAGGATCTAGGAGGTTCACCAGCATCTGGGGCACCATATTACAAGCATAGGCGATGTCAACAATGGCCAGATGGGAGAGGAAGAAATACATGGGAGTGTGGAGTCTTGGGCCCAGACAGATAAGCCCCAGGATAGTGCCATTTCCCAGCAGGGTGAAGGCATAGAACAGGGAGAAGAGGGCAAAGAGGAGCATCTGCATCCGTTGACTGAGTGGAAATCCCAGTAGGATGGATTCTTTGATCAATGTCATGTTGTTTCCCATATCCCTGAGATAGAGAAAATTGAATTAATAACCATGGTTTAAGAGACAACTTTAAATACAGATTCCTGCTAACTCATCTGATACCCTTTGTAGGTTGGCAATAAATTTTTGTTTTTAAATGATATTTAAAGATTTCATTTGATAAATACACGTTTCTTTTAATATTTTCAAATTTTATTATCATTATTATTATGCATGTGTGCATGATGTGTTTGTGTGGGTGTGCCTGTCATGTGTACGTGTGGAGGTTAGAGGACAACTTGGTGGAGTTGGTTCTCTCCTTCCACTTTCATGTGGGTTCAGTGACTCAGGTCACTCTTGCTGACTTGCTGTTGGTAATATTTTAAATGGACCTAGAATTTTAAAATAAATATATTACTGCCATTTTAATGTAAATCAAAAGTTTGTTGATTTTATAGGCTACCCCATAGTTTCCAAATAAATTCTGTTTGTTATTTTTTTATTATTTTTACCAAGAAACAATGAACCATAAATGATGAACCAATTGATTCAGAACTGCATTAAATTTAATATTGAGTGGGAAGGCTTCATTAAAAGGGGAGGCCTCCAGTGGATGAACTTGCACTGAAGGACATCTGTGTACAAATGCTTGATCAAATAAGACAACATATATGACAGAATGCATTAAATCCAGTGAGGGGAACTATGGGGGTGTGGATGGGAGGCTGTCTAAATTTGATTAAGAACTATTATATGAAATGCATAAAAACTCAACAAAACTAGGTTAGATATACTATTGACCAAAATCACCATTTGCCATGGCTCTGGCACACATTTTCCACTTCTGCATCACGGGCCACTTCTACAATAAACACCTCACAAAGTGTAAAGGCTTATATTAAGCCTAAAGTCTTTTTGTTATTTTGATCTTTACAATCAACATTTAGATGAGCATTTTTTTGTACATGACTGGATTTTTGCTGTGCTATTTTTCAGACATGACTACAAGATTAGTAATGTTGGTTTTTGACTTTAATATTGACAAATATTCTAGATATAGTGCTAGACACCATCTCTACAGGTGATTTGCAATGGCTCATTTTCTGTGAAAAATGTTGCAGTAAAGGTCTCTATTGCCCAACTGAACTATATCACCTTTCTAACTCTGACTCCACAGTAAAAATGTGAGCACAGCACTCTGTTTCCCCAGCTGCAAGCATTTTATCCTCTTATGTAAAATCCACTTATCTGGGTATAGCGGAAATGAGTAATAATCCTCAATTTAAATAGCCATAATACATATAAGAGTGCACAAATGCATCAAAATATTACCCCACTTATGTTGGACCTCTCCTGCCACTGTTGGAGAGGTAAGTGCATGCTCAGGCTGGTGAAAATAAAATAATCTAGGGTATTTATTGATTTCCTACTATTTACATAACCATGCTCTTAGGACAGAGCTATCAATAATTAAACTCCATGCTCCTATTCACCCCTCAGACTCTGTGTGGCATCATAATAAGGTTGTGAAGAATAAATAAACATGTCTATACCTATTTATTTGGCTGATTTCTATAGATGACACTCTAAGGCTAGTTTGAAAAATAAAGTATTAACTTAATTGGTTCATAATAATTTTTTCCAGGAAGTCATTTATACATGCAAACTCTTCTTCCTACAAAAGTAGCTATCAGTCACAATTAACCATTGATATATTGATTATAGTAACAAACTAATATATTAACATTTATAATATACTGATAAATGTTTATATATTTTACTTAGATTATCTTATTATCTGTAACTTTCAAAGAAAAATCTTTGCACTAGAGAGTAGACATGTACTTTTTGTGGCAATAAAAGCAAACAATGAAAATGACATTGCATTTCACCAGAACTTACCAAGACAATTAGGAAGCCGGGTATTTAGGGATTGAGGCTGTACACAGATCCTGGTACAACTTCATGCAGAAAATGCAAACATTTTCTCAGTGTGTCTGAGTTCAGTGATGGTACTGGAAGGCTTGCTGTTTGTCTCTGAACTGACAAGGAAGGATCTTCACTCTTCAAGTTGTCTTTTGGTAGGAAAGGCTTTATGAATTTATCACCTCCACAGATCACTTCCCAATTGTCATGAGAATCTTTTGTAGTGCAAGAGAAAATAGGTCTCTTTGCATTGTCCTGGTTCCTATAGAGACAGGAAGAAGCCATGCACTGTTCTTGAGTCCACAGAGGATTAACTTTCCTATTTCGGTGTCTGAGATCTTCAGATATTAAGGAAGAATAGGTAATACTTTCATAAGTAAAAAGATATAAAATTGTACACCTTGGACCATATAACTATTACAGCTACCCCATATGCAGATCTGTTGTAGTTTTATGAACTTTGATTTTGCTCCAGTCTTCAAACATTCAAGAGGCAGAGGGAAATGTTATTCTTAGTTATTATTTGGTAGTGAAATAAAGTCTTGACATTAATTCCTTTCACCACTGAGCACAGATCTGGAAATGTGTAGGCAATTGCATTAGGGATGCAGAAGCCCTGGGGCTTCTGGAAAAAGAATGGATAAGGGATAATGACAGCAAATCTTACTTCTTAATATTTTCCCTCTTTGGTACTATCTGGTCCTACCCTCAAGGAAAGGATAAAGCTGTGTAAAAGCAGAAGACTAGCTCTAGTTTTCTCAGCCTCTGTAGATGGAAATGAGTCTGTGAAGTCTTCCTATCAGAGAAAGTTTATACCATTATCACAAGGTATTGTGGAGGATAGAATCCTGCCAGGGTCTTGTCAACAATCCAATGCCTTACAGCTGTGTGTCAGCTCACTGTTCATATCAAGATGACAGTTTCTGAGAAATCTAGTGTAAGACCCAGTGAAGCCCTTGGTCACGTGCCCACAGTTACTTCCTTCACTGTGAAAGTTAACTGAACTTGTTATGATGCTGTTCAGGAAGGCTTTCAACAAATCAATTGCTTTGATAGCCCACCATAAAGGTAATCACCAAGGTATTGTGGACAGGAAGAGGAAATCTCTCTTTGAAACACATAGCATTTGCAGTCATAATAAATCATTTCCCTAAATAGACAGGGTGAGTGGAATTGGACGTAATTCTGTCATTACATAAAATAAATATTTTTATTTTTCTTGCTGTAACCAAATACCTGGCAGGAAGCAACTTAATGAAGAAAGGGTTTATCTTGGAAAATGATTTGAGGGAATATAGTCTTTCACAGCAGTGGTATCGTGGCACAAGCAAGAAGTTGCTGCTCACGTTACGTCCACGGTCAAGGGGCAGAGATGCATGTTGGTGCTCAATTTACTTTTTCCCTTCTATGCAGTCTGAGTCCCCAGATCATTGGATGGTGCTGCCTACATTTAAGGTGGGCCTTCCCCGCTCAGTTAAACTTTTCTGTAAGCATGCTTATAGACACCACACAAAGGAGTGTTTTTAATGATGAGTTTGAATCCCTTCTATTTGACAATGAAGTTCAACCATCAAAGTCTCCTTGGAGAAAGTTATCATATTAAGGGCTTAGTGCTGGTTCCTGCTACTGAGAGTTCAGACTTCCTGCAGAGTAGAGCAACAAGTCCAGCACTTTATTGAGGGGGCCTATGCTGTTGGACTTATACAAAGCTTCTGTCTCTATTGCCGTGGAAACTGCATTTCTTGTCATTATACAATTACTGAGCAGCCTGGAGCAGGACTGTAGCATTTGTAAGCCACATTATGGAGATGCTTAAAAAATAAATAGTCTGACACTTGGCATTCAGAAGGCCAAGAGTGGACCTGAACTGTCGAGCACTCATTCCTTCAGATGTCTCTTAGAACTGGACTCCCCAGCAGGGCTTAGCGCATTCTTATACTGAAACAGTATGCCCAGCATTAAATGGGGAGGTAAAAGTGAGGATCCACCCTTATCCTAGCAGAGAACTTTGCCCTTTGATCCCCAGGCCTAGAATATCACACATACGACAACAAACAGATTTTTTCTTACTGTTTGAACCTAGAAAAGCACATTTCTTTCAGCACTTTGGTAGGTAGAACATGCACACACACATTCATACTCTATCTTATAGTGCCTTGGGTGGAGGGCAAGGAGGGGTTCTGAAGGGCAAGAGGAGCACATGGATCAGTGAACTTGTTTACATTATAAACAGTAACATTGGTTTGGTAGGTCAGGTAACAGTCTTGATTATGTTCATATTGTTTTTATTTTTTAAATATTTTATTTATTATTTTTATTTCATGTGTATGAGTGTATAATTTCACCCATGTCATGCAACACCTACAGAGTTCAAAGAGGGTGTCAGATTCCTTTGGAAACAGAGTTACAGACAGTAGTCAGCTGCCACGTGGGTGCTGGGAACTGAACCTGGGTCCTCTGCAAGAGAAGCCGGTACTCTTAACTGCTGAGCCATCTCTCCAGCCCCCAGATTATGCCCATATTGTAAAAGTCATTCCTACACAGGGCTTAAACTTTTTCCATCTACCATCCCTTATCTCCCAAGAAATTTTAGCATGACCCTTATATTAAATATATAAGTGTATTTAATAGGTATACAAGTCAAATGTTTACTGATAATCACAAAGAAATTTATTTAAAAAACAATCATTTGGTTGACATATAATGGTTTCATTTATTAGATGTGGAAACAAATTTGTGTAGTATGAGACTGATGTGTTTTTTAATTTTTGCATTAAGAAATCTTGGCCAAATACTGATACTACAGGATGTAGAATAACTTCACTACGTTTTAGGTTGGACTGATATATTAAAAAAATATTTTTATTAATTTTTTGAGAATTTCATACAAAATATGTATTGTGATCACATCAAACACCCCCATGTCCTCCCAGATCCACCTCCACCTTCCAACCCACCCAACTTTGTGTCTTCTTTTTATGTTTTTTTTTTAATCTATAAAGTCTAATTTATCTTGCTCAAATAGTCTTAGGTGTGGATATTCCCTGGAGCATCATTGTCTCACAGCCAAGGCCACATCCTTAGGGAAAAAGTGGGCTCAGCCAATCTCCCTT